GGTGGAGACCCCCAAGGGGGGGAGAAATGGTCCAGGACCCCCAGGAGGGGCAAAAAGAGATGCCAAGGGGCATTTCTGGGGGTCTTGGGAGGTCCTGGTGGGATCTCCAAAGGGTTTTGGGGGTCCTAGAAGAGCCCAAGTGGGTCCTGGAGGGTCTTAGGAGGGTCCTGGTGGGTCCTTGGGGGGTTGAGAGGTCCTGGTGGGATCTCTAAGGGGTTTTGGGGGTCCTAGAAGAACCCAAGTGGGTCCTGGGGGGTCTTAGGAGGTCCTGGTGGGATCTCTAAGGGGTTTTGGGGGTCCTAGAACATCCCAAGTGGGTCCTGGAGGTTCTTGGTGGGTTCTTGGAGGTTCCTTGGGGGGCTCCTTACCTTGGTTGCCCCCAGGGGGAGGTCCCCCCTTGCCCTCAGGTAGAGAAGGTCTCTTGGGGTCCATGAGGAAGTTGTTGAAGAACAGAACCTCCTTCCTCACTGCTCCCATCTTGTCGCCGTGTTTGTTGAAGATGTGTTTGCGTACGAATTCGGGGCCCTGGGGGAGGACAGGGACAACTCCAGGACCTCTGGTGTGGTCACCATGGTCACTGAGGTCTTCAGATTGACCACTGAGGTCTTCCCAATGGTCACCACGGTCACTGTGGTCTTCAGATTGACCACTGAGGTCTTCCCAACGGTCACCATGGTCACTGAGGTCTTCCCAATGACCACCATGGTCACTGAGGTCTTCAGATTGACCACTGAGGTCTCCCCAATGGCCACCATGGTCACTGAGGTCTTCAGATTGACCACTGAGGTCTTCCCAATGACCACCATGGTCACTGAGGTCTTCAGATTGACCACTGAGGTCTTCCCAATGGCCACTGAGATGTTCCCAATGACCCCATTGACCACTAAGGTCTTCCCATTGACCACTGAGCTCTTCCCATTGACCACTGAGATCTTCTCATTGACCACTAAGATCTTCCCAATGACCATTAAGGTCTTCCCGTTCACCATTCAGATGTTCTAAATGACCCCAATGACCATTGAGGTATTCCCAATGACCACTGAGCTATGACCACTGACCACTGAGCTCTTCTTTCCACCCCAGTTGCCCCTCGAGCTCTCCCAGGTGCCACCAACCTTGAACTTCTTCCCGCTGAGAGGACACAGCCACTTGTCCTTGCCCAACTCTTGAGTGTTGGCTGTGACAAACTTCTCCAACTCCACCTCGGGGTCCTTCCTACCCAACCTTTGAGCTTCCTCCTCGGGGACAGCTCCAGGCCCGGCCAAGAGTGGCGACAGTCGAGCCTCAAACCCTCTCTGCCACTCCAGAACTGCGAGGGGGACAAGAAAGGAGGTCCTCAAGGAGCTCTGAGGACATCTCAGAGGGGTTTGGGGGTCCCTGAGGGTATCTCAGAGGGGTTTGGGGGTCCCTGAGGGTATCTCAGAGGGGTTTGGGGGTCTCACCTTCCCCATGGGACACCCTGTTGGGTGGCAAAGGTCCTCTGACGTGGATGATGCCACATCTGTTGGGCATCTCGTCCTCGTTGGGGTACTCAGAGGTGTTGTAATAATCCACGGAGTGAACGATGCGAAGGTAGAGGAGAAGACGATCCAAGACCTGGATTGGGTTGGGAAAGGTCCAACCATGGGTGGAGGAGAAGGAGAAGGAGAAAAAGAAATCATGAGAGGTTAGAGAAGGTCGTGGGAAGGTCTTAGAGGAGAAGAAAATGGTTCAGGAGGTCCAAGGAGGTCCAAGGAGGACACAGATGACCCAGAAGGTCGAAGAAGAAGCCAAGCCAAGATGGCCATGACCCACCTTGAGGAGCTTCTCGTCCCTCTCCACGGTGATCTCGGCAGGATTGGTCTCTCTGGCCACATCTTCGGGACCTTGTTGACCTTGCCCTTGCCCTTGCCCTTGGCCTTGCCCTTGGCCAAGCAGTTCTTCCTCCTCCGCGTTGACCTCCTCGATCAGATAATCCGTGATGTGTCTCAGCACTGGGTTCTGGGCCTGGACGGGACAATGGGGACACCAGGAGGACTTGGGGACCACCACAAGGTCATTGGGACCACCCAGAGCCACCACAAGAACTGGGGGACCACCAGGAACCACCACGAGGAGTTTGGGACTACCAGTAGCTACCATGAGGTGTTGGGACCACCAGGGACACCCCAAACCCCTCAGAGATGTCTTCAGGGACCCCCAAACCCCCCTGAGATACC